GGTGGCTGACTAAATACTTTTTTGCCCCACTGTATGCTCTCTTTTTCTTGTTCCTGTCCAAATGCAGCATTGATCGACTGAAGGCATATCTGGGACATTTTTAGGACATTCTGATAAGGAATTACAGTAGTCCTGCCACGTTTTTCATTTCACTCTGAGACAGGATGTTTCTAATTTTAGAGATATTGCACAAAAATTGCAATAAACCTGAAACGCACTACATAAATGTTATAAATTGATTTGCATGTCATTGTGTGCAACTCACATTAACTCAGCCAGATTACAATCAGTCAGTCAATTACATTCTCCTCATCTCAACTATGTGTACAAAGCAACTGGTAACGCACATAATGTCTAGAAATCTTGCAGTGCACACAACATCCCCTTGCTCAACATCCCCTTGCTCATGTACTGGTCCGTCTTACGTTTTTCAGTGATATAAAATGATTCAGAGAAGTCTTGGGAGTGAGTGCTGTGGCCAGATGTCAGTCTAATAGAAAATGTGTGGAGGGAATTTTAAGTTTCGATTTGAAAAGCGGCAGCCAGGAAATCTGAAGGGTTTAGAGAGTTTCTATAAAGAGGAGTGGGCTAAGATGCCTCCAAAAATGTGTAGAAACTTAGAGACCAACAAGAAATGTCTTATGGCTTTCATTACGAACAAGGATTTCTCTACCAAGTACTTATTCATGTTTTGCTTGGAGATCTAATACTTGATTCACTTGATTCATAGTCTTTTTTTTGGTGGATTTTTGGTTGATATTCTGTCTCTCTCTCTCTGCATTACTGCAAATTGTGCAAACACATGAATGTCAGGGAGCTAATATCACTGTCAGTTAAAAGAAAGATTAAAACATCAAAATTTAAAATGATTTAAGTGACAAAGTGTTAACGATCGGTATTTGCAAGAAATCAAACTTTTCCTCTACCTTCGTCTTTGTGTTGGTCAATGTTGATAGAAGCTTACTGTTTCATGTATTCATTTTTGTCAGTACAGTCTCTGATAACAGCTTGCATTGCAGTATTTTTATATTTATTTTTATATAATATTATTTTGGAAAATTACAGAAAAGGTCCTGACAGCTGAATACCCAGTTTTCTGTGATTATAAAGCAGAAAGATTCTGTTCATTTGTACAGTGTATGTGTAAAATAAATTTCTGTTGTACATAATTGAAAAAAACAAACAAATTTTCTTTGGTGTATATGAATGGCTGTGGTGGAGGTCATCAGTAGGATAATAATACAGTTAAAGATCCAAAAATTTATGTCCTCCTTCACATTTTCTAAAGACGTCTAGTGGGGCAGATTGGAGTCTTTGCTTGGCTGGTTACGTGTTATGTTTGATATCCCTGACTTGGAGTAGTCACACTATATAAGTGTTACTAACTGTTAGTTAGTACACTGCAGTTACATTACTCATACGGTCTGTCAGCAGTACTCCTAAACTGTTTTTTTTTGTTGTTTATAAAATAATAAGCTGCTTGTTTTATTGTTCTGTAACTCCACATGACATGTTGTTTTGTGTCTTTTCAGAAGGTTAAAACAGATAAGAAGCATTTCAAGCAAAAGCACGGAGACCGCTTTGAGAGCCTGGTGGAGCAGTACAAGAAGAAACTGATGGGCAACAGTGGCGCGAGCATCAAAAGAAGTAAATGGTTCGATAGTTAACTGTGCGTTTTTGTGTACATGTGAGAATGTGTGTGTGTCTGTGTGTGTGTGTGTGTATGTCAGGTTAAGTTCCGAAAAACAGGAACTCTATATTTGGCATTCTGTGTGAGGTTTGAGAGTACAACAGATTTTCCTAGAAGTTGGTTTTGTGTCAAACTGAAAGTAAACTGTACAGCTTGATGCCCACATGCCGAACTTCATTCATTCTGTCTGTTTGTTTACTCTTTTAACCAGCGAAGTAAATCTATGTAAGGATACATTTTTGTACATGTACCTGGATTTTAAGGAGAAAATAAAGCGTTGTATTTTGTTGTGACTCACATTTGTCTTGTTGAAAGATTTATTAGTGTCTTACGATGGTTTTCCTTACGCTCGCTTTTCTCGTGTTAGTTTTTATCAGCAGTTAATCATAAGCCGATAGCTCTGGGAAAACACTTCCCACTCATGTCCCCTGACTGTACAAGTGTAGCAAGAGATGAACACCCACGATGAAATTATACATTAACCTGCTGTACGTGCCTTTTTCACTTCATCCTGATTATTCTGATTTCATCTTAAATCCACTAGACAAAAGTGAGAGAACTTCACACAACACCAAAAATCAGTTTGTTAAAAAATGTATTGATATTTTATTGCAACAAAAATAGTGCCAGCTGCACAGCAAAATAACGTGTCATCCGTGGATATAAATAGACATTTTTGGAAGATGTGATATTGCACTGAAGTAAAGTTTCTCCTCCCCAATTCTTCCAGCTCTCATGCAAACATCATGCGGCTTTCTTGGCAAGTTTCAGGATGGTTGTCAGGAATTTCCAAGGATGACATATCCTCCAGTTTTAATGCTACACTGCTGAGTCAGCTTGATGACTGGCTTAATGGGAAACACATTCTTCACTCAGAGCTCTTTGTTGACACAACAGCAGTGTCATAGTACAAACCTTGTAAACAGCTGATTTACTTTTGTGTCATTTAAAATTTCTCCTGAAACATTTGTGTTGCTGTGGTAAAAAAAAACACATTATTTTACAAAATACATATCTTCTAATTACCATATATAAATAAATACACAGTGTATATAAATAAGTGCCTGTTCAATAAGAATTTCAGTTCAAAACATTATCAAGTTTTCAACGTGGACAACTCAGAATGTTAAGTCAGGCATCGCTGATGGAGACTTTACAAATGTTGTCCAACAATCAGGGCGATAGCTTGGAAATACTGGTCCTGATGTACATCCTTCAGCAAGTCTCCAGCTGATCCAGGTTCTTCAGCAGCCGATTTAGAAACTCCTTCACTCTCATGAGCGCCTCGATGCCCACGGTGTGAATGAATTCTTTGTGGCTCTGTAGCTCTTGCAGTGGCCCTGGTACTTCAGGCTTTGGTCGCTGTTGGCTGCAGTGCCTCTGCCTCCACGGATCAATGTAGCCTGTCAGTGAAGAGATGTCGTACTTGATCTGGGAGACCCCGTTAAAGGTGTCCGAGATCAGGCTGTTGTAACCATTCAAGACCGTCACTATGGAGGAAGTTCCATCCAAATCATCAGTAGGTGGGTTGAGAGTCCAGTTAACTGGGACCTTTAATTGGGAGGCGAACGCATTAGGGTTAATAACACATCGACTCTTTCAAACACTAAAAATTCTGTCTTTGTACACAGAACTATAGCTACCTGTATGTCTTTGTCCAGCCTAACCAGCAGCTGTTCAGCCATCCACTTCACTTTTGATTTCATCGTCACTACTTCCACTGGCAAAGGAGCTGCTGTGCCCATGCTTAAAGCTTGAAACAGAGAAAACAGGAGCACCAGACCGTAGTCCATAGCGTTGTGTATTTCCACTGTTGTAAAGAACAAAGAAAGAAGATGGTGTTCCTAGGAGAGGAATGGAAAATTAAACGATTAGAGATAAAGAATCCTTTTCTTTCTTTCAATTTCACTATATCATCTCACTAAAAAAAAACTGGATGAGTTCCTATCTATATTTAATCACATTACAGATGTTTGTACACATGCTTCCTGCCGGTAATTTACTCAACCTCTTTGGTGCAAATATTTGTGATAGAGACACCTGTGAATTTCTGGCTGTATAACAGGTACAAAGATCACTGATTTTGGCTCCCGCAATTAATCTCTCCAGTTTTCCAAAATGTTACCAAAATTCCCTGAGAACAGTAAAAGAAAGTACAAGTTTCCTTTACACCCTTCAAACTTTAACTTCAGTTAAAACACATGTAACTAATAAGCAAGAATTTCTCTATAAAAACTTTTGTCGCTGACATCCTTCACTACAAATTTTAAATTGAATATAATCAGAAAGCTGCACTCATGAATGGAGAAACCACAAGTCTGATAGTTGACACAGACTGAGAAACAAAGACATTCGCCCCTGTGAGATAAAGGTGAATGAGCCGTGCAAAGAGGAGCAGAGAGTTGACCTTACCTCGGTTTGGTGTCTGCGAGTATGCCACTGTCAGGCTCCATCAGGGCATCTTATATTGCAGAGCTGTTGACTCATCTCTTACTCACCTCTCTCTCCGACCCCCCATTCCCCCCGCATCCGCCCCCTCAGTTACCTCTCCATATCATGCCCCCAAATCTGCTGGTGGTACTGCATCAGACAGGGAGAAGTTGATGATGACACATTCATCATTTAGAGAAAAGTTTATGAGTTGCTTTGAGTGATAATGAAGTAATTTTATTACTTTCTTACCTCTTGGAGACATTCGTCATTTTTTTGTCGAACATGTGTATATCCATACATATATGCAGACTTTAAGGTATCGCAGCGTCCAAGGTGCAAAGAAACTTTTTACTGCTTGACTCACTGCATATGTCATATCCTGCACTGACACAGTGTAATTTTATGACATTGCATCATATGAGAAATTCCACTTTTGAATTTACCAATAAGCAAGAATATAACTGAAAACAATAAAATCACACGTTTTAAATGGAAAAGTGAGGCAACAGAGTGGATTTTCCTTCATAACTTCAGAAATGACTTAGAATGTAACCAGATCACTGTGTGATTAAGCAGTAAGATCCAAAATAATAAATAAAACCAAACACTGCAACTTGAATAAGCTGTTCAATGCACCTTGGTTCATGTTTATGTGAACATTATAATCTTTAAAGCCACTAAAGCAGTGTGGCGATCGCAGAATATTCGAAGTAGCAATTATGCTGGAATGTATTTAGTGTGACTGACAGTCTGTAGCAGCTTTCAGCAATTACACTTTCATCCATCAAATTACAATTTACAGTTACATTATTTTTGGTGCCAGATTTCCACAAAAGTTTCTGTTTAATGTGAAATATACGAGTTCATTATCAGCATCTCCTTTTCTCAGCACTTTAGATGTCGCGCTCAAACACAGTTATGTCCATGTTTCTTAAAGTCAGTGCTCTTCTTGGAAAAATGCTTTAAAGGCCCCTTTCCCCTAAAAAGAGTTATTTTTAGAAACAGATGTTAAGGAGGGGAGATGGTGTGCAGAGCATGTTTCGTTTCTCTGAAACAAAAATGAAAAGTGAAAAAGGGTCAGAGAGTCCAAGAACCATCGTGTGTTTGATCCATAGGGAAAAACACAGGGGCATGATGACAATTGTGCTTTTCTCTAAAGGTAACTTACAGTAAAACCATCTTATGCTCATGGGGTCTCATAAAGAGATTAAAATCAATGCCAAATTTGGGGTCAAATAAACAGATACGTAAAAGAATGTGAAAATTGATGGAAAAAAAGGGGGGGAAAGGACGTATTTCTGGGAAAGACAACAAATGTGTGACATTGTCCTGCTTTTTCAACGGAAATAGCGTATTATTCATGAAAGACTAGAAGGAATGATATGAACTATCTAACTGCCAAGTGGTAACAGTTACCGAGCAGGTTTCTGCTTGGTAAGTAAAAAAAAAAGTTTCTCTAACATCTGTTGTGAATTAAAGCTTTTAAATTATGAGTTTTGTCTGCCAGTATGTGAACTCTCTGTATACAGGAAACAAAATAAATTGCAAGTTTGGAAACAAATGCGTCTGTCGCACTGTTATCTTTATATCAATCTTGTTACTCAGAGTGGTTATGGTTTTTCTCAATTGCAAACAAATTCTCCTAAAAATGATGACTCAAAGAAATTGTTTATTTAGTCCACAGTTTGTGCATTTATTATTTCCAAATAGCAAAGATGCATATTTGAGCTTTTGTGACTGTATT